TATGCTCTGAGCTGTGCCACTGAGCTTATATCCAGCAGTGTGTCTGTGTACGTGTGTGTCTGTAAGAAGTAAATTCCACAACAGTATGTGCCAAAAACGCTGTAGTTGTGCTTGTGCTCGCCAGATTGAGTCCATCATTTTATTGTTGCTGATGAGCTGTCTGCCAGCGGAGCTGTGAGCGAACAAGCATCTGCTCTTTTTCCTTAATTAATTTATTCATTAGCTTTGCCTCTTTTAACCTTAACCTTTTCACAGTGAATGGCAAGAGTATTTTGAGAACCGAGAATGAGTTAGCATGATGAAACTGTATTCAAATAATTGTGCAGGTAAACCAGTCTGATAAAGTCAATTTTGATATAGTGCAACTAGAGCTGTCACAATTCGCTACACTGTTATCGTGGCCAAAAGAATAAATAATGCTATAATTGTTATTATCTTTCACTTTTTTTTGGCCGATTAATCACTCAAAATATGATTGTATCAGGAGGCAGAGAGAAGTGCTCAAAGTTTACAAAAAGAATGTACTGTTGATTGGCACTTGCCGCATATCTTGTTTGCCTTGCATGTTATTTTTATCTTATGGTTTTGTCATTTGCTTGATCAGTGTCTTTGTGGGGGTTGGTTCATTTTCTGTCTTAGGTTTAAGGACCTTTGAAATGACTGAAATATTTTGGTGAAATGATATGTGACTGTAATGTTGTTGACAAAGCTTCATAGCTTACATGTCTAATTCGTTTGAAATCATTTACTGGAAAATAATGATTAGACCGTTTGTCAGCCCATCAAAATCAAGCATTTAACAACCCGTGGTAGTGTAAATTTATTTGTGTGCAGCCCTAATAACAATATGAGTGCAATGCAACAAGGGCCTTCCAAATCATAGATCAAAAATCATTTTTTGTAGCATGACAGTCCATGACCATTCATGTGAATTTTTGCCAGTCTCTGAAAAGCAGGTTTGTTTGTGTGTGTTGCTATGTGCTTGCTATTGCCAATTTTTTGGTGGTTCTGAATGGTTGCAAGGTTTTAGAAAAGCTGACCTTCAGGAAAGTTGCCATCTGTAGACTGGATCTGAAGTTAATAGTGGTTAAAGGCAGATTTCAGCCATGTTGTGTTTATCTGGAACAAGAATATATGAATGTAGTTTGTCAGGTTCCCTCACTCCCTTCTCCTCCATCCTACACTTAAAGCTGAATGTAGGCCAGAGAATTCCCTTCGAGTGCCTTGTCTTGTTGTCCTTGCTGGTAGGGGGGATCAGGTAGTGATGTTGAGTCCTGTTAATGTAATGGCAGCATGAAAGTCTGCTTGCTCATGAATGATTCCTATTAGAGTCTCCCTGGTGTCTCTGTGGGAGAATTTCAAAGACTACCAACTCACAGGCTATGTATGATGAATTGGATGCACGTGTAAGACGTGACTGCCTGTCTGTTGGAAAATACCCTGTGTGGTACCCATAATCAGAACACAATCACTTCAGGGAAAAATTATTCATCATTCCAGTGCTTTCATACATCGGTTTTCCTGGTGTTTTCTTGATTTAAAGTATTTTTTGAATACCTCTTTGTTTTGAATTTTAATATAAGACTTTTGTTTTGTTCTTTCTTTGAAGGAATATATTAACATAAATGGTTTCAAATTTAACATTGGTTTAACTTTTTTTTAAAAAAAAGTAACTAACACGGTTGCCTTAATTTTAAGTTAATTGAAACTGAAAGATTGAGTTAATACAATAGCCGCGTTTCAACTGCCGGGCCAGGGCCGAGCCGTGCTATTGCGTGCCAGGGCCAGTTGCGTTTCCACTGTCTGTTCTGGGGCTTATGGTGCGTTCATGTGCTATGGTAATTATGGTAAATACCAAAGGCCAACATGGAAAATGCACATTAACACCCCCTCATGTGGTATTTTCCGCAACTCGTATAATATTTTGATGGACGAATTGCCGAGATGAGATAAACTTTGACCTTTTCAAAATGGCGGAGAGCACCGTGAGAGTCATGAATGGGAAAAATATTTATGATCTAGAAAATATACGAGCAACGCTTCAAGTTCAGGAAAAAATTAAAAAGTTGCGGGCGCAGTATTGTATTGTATTGGCGACTCGCAGGACACTATTGCAGCCACGGCCGGTGAGTTAATATACATATCTTCCTAACTTAAAAAATAAATAAATTCATGCTGAAATGCGTTGGGTTGTATGTCGTTTGATCCAGAAAGGCGTGTTAGGAGCGGGGTTTAGGGCAGTGCTACGGGGCTACTGGCCCGGCAGTGGAAACGCAAGTCTGGTGCTTGAGGCCCGAGGCCACTGGCTCGGCTCGGCTCGCTGTAAGCCCTGGCCCGGCCCTAGCCCGGCAGTGGAAACGCGGCTAATGAGGAGATTGGTTTAATCTTCAGAAACTCAAAATATAATGTTATTTGAACCACATAAATTATCTAAATTGATTTGACAAACATCATGAAAATTTTTACAGTGTGGAGCACAACATTTTAATTTCGTATGGTTTAGTGTTTTTCCTCTGTGTGTGCGTTTACCTATAACTTTAAAAGCATATCTAAGTGCCGTCTCTTCAATCTCATACAGGTCTCACACAAATAGAAAAAAGAAAGTGAGGATAGGCAAAAATTTAGGCAAGTCAGACTTTATTGCAGGAAAGTTGTGACTGCATACTGTTGCCAGGCATCATGAGTGGGAGTGGGTGAAATCACAGAAGAGTTCTGGTTACCCAGGGAAACTGCATCTGTCCTGATGATTGTCTCTAAGAATGTGAAGGACAGAAGAACAGATCTGTATGTGAAGTGTGTGAGTAAACACAAAGCTACATAGAGAAACAAAGTCTTTTAATGGATTACTCTATGTCTTCTGTTGTAGCACAAAACATGACAAAAGAAGAACTTTATTTGTGATCAAATACATGCAGTCTTGGTGAGCATTAAAAATTTCTTTCAAAAACATCAAGTAATCTTATTTAGCTTAAAATTTTAGAAAATATGGAGACGTGAGAAAGGAAGGAGAGCTCTCATAATAGACGGAGGGAGACATACAGGAAGTACAACAGGATTGTTGGTATAGTCTGGAAGAGGGAGGGACACTCAGACATTCTGCCTCCGAGCTAAATGCCGACGGCTCCAAGACATGTAAACAGTGTCTATGTATGCATGAGAATGAGAGAGCATTTTTTTTATGTCCATACCTATTAATGCCTGCGTTTTATCCTCTGAGCGTTAAACGAGTGTGGCTATATATGAGTGTGTGAGAGATCACTTTCCAGAAGCCAACACCAGATTGCAGACTGACGCAATGCTGTGGTTTAAATCTCATATTTATTGATCTGTCTTGAGAAACCCAAACCATTCTGAGCCATGCTGTTCTAGCTGGTGCAGTGGACTAGCTCAAAAAATATGGGCAGACGTGTGGATTTCAATGCATATTGGATTTGTTTTTTCTTGTTCTATACATCCGCATTCATTGCGTTGAAGATACACAGCTAAATTTCAAATTTCCTGCTGTATTCTATAAGTGTCAAATTTCTTAAAATGTGTATGCTATGCAGGCGCAAAATTTTAAGCTCAATTTAGTCTGAAGTTCCATTTAATCAGCAGCATTTGTGTGGCCAGGTTTGTTGAGACTGTCCTGCCATTTTAAGTGTTTGTTCTCTTTCTCTCGGCTTGAAACTAAAGTCCATAGCTGTGGTTTTATCATTCCCACTCATCTTTCTCCCTCTTTAGCTCTTTTGTGTGTGAGAGAGGCTTTCTTGCCTCAGAGCTCTTACTCTTGTATGCAAGGACATGTCTGTGTCTGAAGCCGAGTGAGAAAATGGAGAAAGTGAAAAGAATCTGAAGCTAAAGAAAACTAGTGCTGCTGGGTTTAATTGGATTTTGGGCGGCAAGAGTCTGTATGGCTCACGTACAGTACATGACAGACCAGAACATTTTCAGACTTCACATTTCTACCTGATTTTATTTTTTTTATATTTTTTTGTGGAATAATGGGGGGACTTTTAGTTTATAACAAAACTGGTGGACAGATTTGTGTGTGTTCAGGATTTACCAAATCGCATTCTTCAAATCGATCTTCATGGAGTTACTGGACCGAAAGGATTAAAGGAATGTTTTGGATTCAATGCATTAAATATGAGTTTTACGACTGGGATAAACGTACATAAACGCACTAGAAAGTATAGTCACTTGACCAGAGTATACCATTCAAATGTTTGGGTTAAGTATGATATTTTTTTTAAATGTATTATTATTATTATTATTATTATTAATAATAATAATTACATTTAGATAACTTTTTTTCAACAAGGGCACATTAAATAGATTAAAAGGGATTCCATTCCATTAAATTAAATTTGTATCACAGTTTCCACATAAATATCAAACATAAATAAATGTTTCTTGAGCTGTAAATCAACATATTAGAATGAATTCTGAAGGATGTGAAGTAAAGATGCTGAAAATTCAGCTATACATCACATGAATTACATTTTAATATTAAAATAGAAAATTATTTTAAATTGTAATTTTTTTTTTACAAATATTTTTTTTCTGTACTTTTGATCAAATACATGCAATCTTGGTGAGAAGGAGAGACTTTTTTTCAAAGTGTTTAAAAACCTTACCAACCCCAAACTATTGAACAATAAGTGTGTGTTCCTGTATGTGAATACTAGTGTCTAATAAAGTTGCTTATTAACCTTGTCAGTGCAAAATTATTTAAAGTTCAAAGAACACATTTTTGCTTCAAAGAATTTAAACACTTTAGCAAAAATATGAGTTTGAAACATTTTTGCTTATAAAACCTCTGGTCTTTCCCTATTGACATTACTGCACAGTATATCATTTTGGTTCGTTTTTTCAAAATTATTTGATTCTTTTTTTAAATTTCCATTTCAAATCCTGGTGTTTCAGACACAAAGACACTACATATGAGCTTAAATGCAAATTATTTGTAAAGGTCTAACGTGACTCTCTTTCTTCTGGTCTCTTCTCTCCTCTTCCAGAAGATCAACAGCCTTTACACAGAGATGAGGCCATCTTCATCGCCCTCGCGTCTGTCTCCATAGTAGCTGTCCTGATTGTGGCGCTCTTCTTCGGCTATCGCATGATGATGGGTGAGATTCAGTACTCTGTGTTATGATTGGCTGTTTGCAAATGAAGGTCACATAATAATGTTACTGTGTTTGTTACAGGCGAGTGTAAACAGGGCCTGCACAATATGGACATGATAGAGGCCGCACCATCAGAACCGTCTCTGGATTTAGACAGTTTAAAACTCCTCGAAGTGAGTTTAGCTCCATCAAATATGTGCAGAAATTATCATATTTTGATTTTGAATTGTATTCTAATGAGCCTGAACCATCTGTATTTGTTTATCATGTAACATCTGCTACAATTCACACCTGAATAATTATTTTCTTGCAGTTGATTGGTCGAGGGCGCTATGGCTCTGTCTACAAAGGATCACTTGATGAACGCCCAGTTGCTGTAAAAGTTTTTACTTATGCCAACCGGCAAAACTTCGTGAATGAGCGCTCCATCTACCGAATCCCTCTTCTGGAGCATGAGAACATTGCTCGTTTTATCGTTGGCGATGAGCGTCTCACGGCAGATGGGCGGATGGAGTACCTGCTGGTCATGGAGTACTACCCTCATGTGAGTATTGCTCTAGTTCAAGCCCTCATTCTCTCATCCTTAAAGTTGTTTGTGACACGCTCTGGTGCCTGGCTGCCCTGCTTGGTGTAGTTTTCCACATTTTACCTTCATTTGTCCTTTATTCCTCATCTCCGTTTCATTGGTCTCTCCTGACTATTTCTGTCAAAGTCGGGAGTGGAATCGAATGTCCTGCCGCTATCTGGCTAGATATTTTTATCCATGATTCAGATGGATTTCCAGCAGGCAGTATCAGAAGGGTGACTTGGATGTCGGCTTTGTGTTTTAGCCGCCCCTGTGCCTGTTTGTTTGTCTTTCTCTCTCTATGACTTTTATTATTTTAAATTTTTCTGTATCCATCTGCCATTACGTCAGATAAAGATGTCTTCTCTCCTAAACTAAACAGTTGTGCCACTTTTGTGTGAAGTATTTCATACTTAATAGTTTAATACTAATAGTGCATTAATCATTTCATATTTCATACATATTTTTACATTGTACTTAAATGAGTAGTTCTCTTTTAAAAAAACTTTTTCTGATAATTTACTCACCCCCATGTCATCCAAGATGTCCACGTCTTTCTTTCTTCAGTCGAAAAGAAATTAAGGTTTTTGATGAAAACATTCCAGGATTTTTCTCCGTATAATGCATTTTACTGGTAACCAAACGGTTCAAGGTCCAAAAGACAGTTTCAGTGGCAACTGCAAACTGTTCAAAGGGCTTTAAATGATTCCAGACGATAAGTAAGGGTCTTACCAAGCAAAACAATCGCTCATTAAAAAAAAAAAAGTTTAAGTTTTAAAAGTTTAAATGGTTGCCTTGCTCTGTTTTCTGATGCGCGTTCGTGACTCTCCTGTTCAAACTCGTTCATCAAAATGAACAAATCTTTTTTCGTGTCATTTGGTTCATTAAACGAACGAAATGAACAAATTGACTCGGGAAAAGATTTGTTCATTTTGATGAATGAGTTTGAATAGGAGAGTCACGAACGCGCATCAGAGAACAGAGAACAAGGCGATGATGCAGAACATTGTTATAACTGTGTATATATTATCACTCAGTGTACTGTCAGCTTCTTTATTAGTTAATACAATTGTCTGGATTGCACTGATGAAGTGATGCTTTACATTCCCAGTAAAGTACGTCAGATTGCAGTAACCGACGCGTCCTTGACAACCTCGAACTCAAAGAGTTTTAATTTCACTCTGCACAAATTCTTTGGGCATGTTTGTGCTGTTATCCAATTTTCACAATGCCTTTAATCATGTGCTAAAACAATGCAAGACAGAACATGCCAATAAACAGCACTATCAACAGGCTCAATTCATTCTTAGCCACTCAGCTTTCAGAACTCGCACAATAAAACCCCAGATTCTGTGCAAGTTTTTTTTCCCCCCTGTACATTCCTGTTTGACATGTTATAACTCGCAAGTTTGTCTGTGAGTACGCCTCTTCTACCCACCTGGGCCTTTTGAATGGCAGTGAGGAATGAGACACACCTTTATTATGTCTGGCTGCAGACAGACTTCACTCCGTGAGACAGTGCTGGGTTTGATCTTGTCCTGTTTTACTTCTAATGTATGAATTATATAATGAACTCATACTATAGCCTAGAGGCCAAGTACAGGGAAAACCCTTGTAGGTGAATGTTCACTTCATATTTAGACATGATGAGTTGAAGGTTCCCTTTAGACTGAAACTAAGGTTGTGTTCTCACACTTGGCAATGTTTGGTTAGATCAAATTAACCGCACTAACAGAGCAATTCGCACAATGGCTCATTTTAAAGTGTGAACGCTGCCAAAAAAGCGGACCACTGAAAATATGGGTCTCAGTCCACTTCCAAACCAACTCTTGTGCCATTCGAATGAAATATAAGATGAGGAAAATGAGGCAGGCATCAAAACTGCGTCTCCTCGCAGCAGATCTTTATTTGTGTGTGTGACGGAAGGATTCCTGCCACTGTTTTGACTCCTTCACACATTTTATAAGCTCTTCACGAGTTCTCAGCTGGCCAAAATACCAGCACCCAGTATTGTTTTGTGAGCTTGTGAACTTTGTATTGTTGTGAACTTATCCCTACGCCTTTAGGTTCGGTATCTAGGTTCGATTTTAAAATGCCAATGTGGAAGCTAAGCGGACCAGGACTAAATGTTTTCCTCCGGACCAAAGGAACCAAGTACGAAGTACCGAAGTGTAACACACCCTAAAAGCTCTTTGGGTTAATCCTGATATCTGCAACTGTAAAACAAATTACTATATCTTTGTTATTTCACACTCAATATTTTTTTCAATAAAATAATTTTATACATTGTCGCAAATTAACTGGATGGAAATAAAAAGCTAAAGTTACCCACTGTTTAGTGAGTGATTGAGAGTTGCATGAGGTTGTCAAGTTCTGTCAACTTTTGTCAACAAAGTTTTAGAGTGAGAGACAAAGTGAATTTATAATTCACAGAATTAATCCAACCAATTGCTAATGTTTGTGCTCTTGTTTTCCTACCAAAGATTATGTCACTTCCTGCAGGATATTATTAAAAAATGGCTTTAGTTAGTTTACTGTAGCTAAACGGATATTACAAAAGAACTTGTGTTGTCCAAATTCTAAATTCCTAGGCAGCCCAGAATGCATTGCAAGAGAAAAAAAATCCTGCAACAGAGAGAAATGTCAGTTTAAATTATTCAGTGTTGAAAAGTATGAATAGAAACATTTAGAAGAGGATCATAGAGTCATGGAGTTTTTAGCAATATATTAAGATCTTTAATGAAATCAATTATAAATCAAGACTTCTTTGAATTTTACATTTTTGCTGTTTTGTGTGGCACATATGCCTGAAAAGCACTCTGAATAATAACTAATAGGGCTTCCCTGTCCATTAGGATGCTTAGAAGACATTACAGTTAGGCAGTAGACAGAAAAGCAGCTCACTGCATTTTGGAACAAGGCCTGTGTCTGTTTCAGTCAATGTTCTGTCTGTCACACATGGCTAGAAAGAAGGAATGCCAGGGAGGCCAGTGTCCGGGGATAACATCGTTTCCCCTGTCGCTATGGTAACAAGAAGACTCAGGCAGGGCTTAAGGGAAAGTGATTGGCTTTTATGGCTCTGATGTACACTTACAGGTAGATAATCATTCCTCTACCCAGAGCGCCCTGCAGTCTGTTCGTTTTCTTATTTACCCCTCCATCCTAGATGATGGGTCAAAAATCTCTTGGTCTGTGTACTGTTATCGGTAGCATTCAGCTCAGTTTAACACAGAAGCTGTTTGCGATACAACTAAATACAATACAAATGAACAAGAAGTATATATATATATATATATATATATATATATACATTAACATTTAAGGTAATATAATAATATTACATTGTACAGGTATGTTAATCATTTTGTACATTTTAAATTGTGATGTTTATTTTAGTTTTTCTTTTTTTTCTGGGCCTTTTATTTTTATTGGACCGTAAGCAGACAGGAAGTGAAGTGGTAAAGGAAAGGTCGCACTATATGTCGCACTATATGTCGTGTGCTGCCTATGAGGCTATCAGTGCCGACAAAAATAAAATATTTTAGTTATATTGTTGCCATATTTTAATATTACCTTAAATGTTAATATTTTTTAAAACATGTGTTGATTTTAGTTTTAATATGTTTTAACCATATTATGTTACCTTATGCTAATAGTTGATTGTATTTTGTAACTATATCATAATATCCTTTTTTTTTTGGATCAATACAATTTACATGTAAATATTTGTTTTGTATGGGGCAACTGGCATATTCTTTATATATACACTCTGTATTCCAGACTGATATTATTGGTTATTGCACAAAGTGGCCTTAGTGACCTAACAATTCAATGCAGAATGCCACAGTATTCACCCCACCATGAGTTTGTTCTTAGTTTGACAGTTATGGATATTTCTACAACCCACATAATTACATCTGCCTCTCTACAGAAGCTTGTGTGTACCGCATGTTCAAACACTTCCTGTTTAACTAATCAAATCTAATCTACAGTCTTATTTAATAGTTTAGTTTGGAAAAAAAATTCTCTGTTATGTTTGTTGACTAGTTTTAATTGCATTGCCTAATACCCCTGAGGCAGTGATAAGTTTGCGGGCGGCTTTACATTACAACTTTGTTGAAGCTCCAATCCATTATTCAAGAGCTTTATAAGCTTCATATCTACTCTAGAGATTTGAAATGCTGATATAAAAGCAATGCTGAGTTCTGGGGAAAAGAAGTAACATTGTTGTAGAGCAGAGTTAGAAGTGCAGTTCTTATTTTCTGCAACCAAAGAGTTCCTGCTATAACCATCATCACTCCCATGTTCTTTTACAATCCCTTTAGTGGCGTGTTTCAGGAGTTACAGGTTGTGTGCGTGCTGGTTTAATTGTACTGTGATTGTTTTTGTAGGGCTCTCTGTGTCGGTACCTGAGTCTGCACACATTGGACTGGGTGAGCTGCTGTCGTCTGTCACATTCGCTCACGAGAGGACTGGCCTACCTGCACACTGAGCTCCTGAGAGGAGGTGAGGCTCACATCTTTAACTCAACTACTTTCTCATTTTCCACCACCTGGCAGTATACAGTATTTTGCTGCCCGTTTGAAGGAATACAGCCTTAAATGCTAAAAAAACACTTGATATCTGTGTTTTAAGGTGAAGTGTGTTGTTTAAAAAAATATATTTATTGTGCATAATTTTAAAAGATGTAGGGCAGAACTTGACTGATTTTATTTATTCGGAATGGATTAGATTTTTTTTTTTTTATTGGGATCATAAATGAGTAAAACAAAATGCACTCCTGGTTAAGGTTGGGGTCAGTAAGATTTTAATAATTTCATACAGCAAGGATGCTGCTACATACGAGACCCGTTTCAAATAAATGCTGTCCTTTTTAACATGTATATTTTTTTTTCTATCAAAGATTCCAAGAATTTAAGCAAATCAAAGAAATGTTTCACGGTTCACACCTTGAATGATGTGAGAGCATAACAACCATCTGACCCTGATTGATTTCACATCTTCATACGCTAGTGTGGAAGTATCTGAGTTCTTTTTTTTTTTTTTCTGAAATTCAGCAAGGACACATTATATTGAAAGTAAATATATTTATAATATTACAAAAATGTATATTTATAATAAATGTTGTTCTTTACAACTATTCATCAAAGAAACCAGAAAAAAATTATCACGTTTTCAAAAAAATATTAAACAGCACAACTGTTTTCAACATTGATTATAATAAGAAATGTTTCTTAATAATCACATCAGCATATTAGAATGGTTTTTGAAGGATCATGTGACACTCAATACTGGAGTAATGATGCTGAAAATTCAGCTTTGACATTTCAGGAATAAATACATTTAATTAGAAAACAGGGTATTTTAAATTGTATTATATTTTTTTTGTTTCATTAAATGCAGCTGGGTGAGATTAAGATACTTTTAAAAACGTTTTAAAATAAAATATAATAATAAAAAGGTATGTTTAGGCTAAGAATTGATGTCTCACTCATCACAGGTGTAATGGGCATATAATTCATAATGTGACCCTTTTTCCATTTTGTACCAGCTTGCAATACAAACATATGAACGTTGTCATCTGACCACAAGGGACTTTGAAGAAGATCATACATTCATCGCTATTTAAAATTCTGTTAAAAAAAGAATTTGATATCTTTTGATATCGTTCGTTTGATATCTGAGTTCCTTCAAATAAGAAAGTAGTTCTCTTTCATTTTCAGTGTTAACAGACTTTACCATGAATTTGATTGGCATATCATTTAGCATGAGTCTTGTGGGAGATATAAATCATAACATGACCTGAAGGCGCAGATGTGTTCATATAATATATGACAAGCATTTTAATAGTCATGTAGACGAAAAATTGAGGTTGAATACAGTTTTGGTCAAGGTGAATGTTCTGTTGTCCTCATTTTCTCGATGTGCTGCTTTCGTTAGTAAATGGTTCTTGAGTTCTGTAGACACAACAAAGTGTTAGTTTGCCGATTTTTGACCCGCTTTGTATTGTTACAGTTCTATATGGAAATGAACAATGTTTGTTACCTGGACAGAGGGGTTCATATTTATTTGTCAGCAATAGTCTGTTGGATGAAGTAAAATGTGTCATCCAGCGGACTTTTGACAGATCCAGGACTTTCTTTGAAAAGTAAGTTATAAAGTAGTAAATGTAAATGGTTGGATGGAAACGTGCTCGGTGCATTATGGGTTTTCCTACCTATTTGGCAAATGGGGAAAAATGATCTTTGTTTTCTTTAGTCAGGTAGCACAGATTTAAAAAGAAAAAAAATCTACTGCATATGCTGCCAAGTTTTATTGAAAGCCCATTTTGCTAGCAGTGAAGAACCCCTTTAATGCTGTAGCCCAGCAGGAATGTGTGTCTAACCACATGGGTTAAAAAAAGCTTGGAGAATCCACCCAAAGACCATCGGCGGGCCAGTGGACTGCGTCAAAAGGAGGCTGCCTTCTCTAATCGGCACATCTGGGTCAGACAGAATGTTTTCTGTAACGTAAAACTCAGACTATTCATTTTTTATGACTCTTCAACAGAATGACAGCGTGTAGTTCATAATGCTGAGCGCGTACACACTGGAGTTTCACAGCTGGAAGAAATATTTTATGTAGATGTTCAGTTTGATGTATGTCAGTTACCTAAAACATTGTCTGAAATGAAAGAGAGGCTCAGGGTTTTTAATTAGGCAATAAAACTACATGCTTAATTCTAATTGAGTCTTTGGCTCTTCCAATGATCCTTGAGGTAAGACAGGACATGTTTTACTAATAGATATCACAATACTTTGCCCAGTATAAGACAGTTGTTTGCTTTAAAACATGGTTTTGACTGTAGTGTCTTGCCTTTAAAGGGCCAGAATGCGGTGCAAAAGAGATAACACTTTGCTAGTTTGTGCGTCACGCTCCTCATGTTTCTCTGGGTGCTGGAGCGTCGCCAGAGATCTACAGATTCTGCAGCTCATCAGATCTCAAGTTAATTTCCCTCTCTAGTCCTGCCCTCATTACGAACAGATCTCAGAGCAGCCGTCCACCAGCTTCCTGCGCCTGCCGTCATTATGAGCTGATCTCGGTACAGCCGTGGTTCAGTTTGCTCTGCCACTGCCCTCATTACTGGCTGAACTTTAGAGCCAGACAGCCAGCATGTGGAGGATGGGGGGATGACTGGGAGAGAGGGCATTCATTCTGAAATTATTACTCACATCATGTGCTTCTGACAGCGCCCTCTGCTGGTTCTGTTGTGCAAGGGGTTTGTAAAGACTCCAAAAAAAACCCCAACAATATATGGGTTCCTTTTGACCCCGTGGAGTCTCTTAAAACACTGATTTATTTAAATTGTCTAAAAATGTCCAGTAGTGTATTCATACTCTATCGTTCAATAGTTTAGAGTTGGTAAGATTTTCTTTTTAAACAAGTCTTACCAAGGCTTCATAATTACAGTTTAAAATAACTGTTTATTTTGAATTTGAAAATATTTTAAAATGTAATTTATTCCTTTGCTGGCAAAGCTGATTTTTCAGCATCGTTTCTCCAGTCTTCAGTGTCACATGATCCTTTAGAAATCATTCTAATATGCTGATTTGATGCTCAAGAAACATATTAGATATATTAATATATTTGGCAAGATTATTTGATGAACATAAAGTTAAAAAGAAAAACGTTTTTTTTTTTTTTTTTAAATAGAAATCTTTCCTAACAATTTAAAAGTATTTACTGTCAATTTTTATGAATTTAATGCATCATTGCTGAATAAAAATATTGATTTCTTTAAAAAATCAGATACTTCCCCACTAGTGCATAAAGAGGTGACCGCTTTTAAGGATAGATTGTTTTACTTTCACATCATTAGAGGTGTAACACTCTTGATGATTCTATGAAACGACTGTGTGAAACCACAATTTCTTCACAGATGTATATAAACCTGCCGTGTCACACCGGGATCTAAACAGCCGTAATGTTCTGGTGAAGAACGATGGCACGAGTGTGATTAGCGATTTTGGTCTGTCCATGAAACTGACAGGGAATCGCCTCGTACGGCCTGGTGAAGAGGAAAACGCCGCCATCAGTGAGGTCAGCACATAAACACTCACTTAACTGGAACATTATAACAAACTTGAAGCTGCGGAAATTTAGGCCATGTTGGTATTCACCTGAGAATGAGGTGTCCAGAACTGCTGATCCAGACCCAACATGAGAGCACCTTTCCCCTCACACCTGCTCTGTTCTGCTGTCTAGGTGGGCACCATCCGTTACATGGCGCCGGAAGTGCTGGAGGGAGCGGTGAACCTCAGGGACTGCGAGTCGGCTTTGAAACAGGTGGACATGTATGCCATCGGCCTCATCTACTGGGAGACCTTCATGAGGTGCACTGATCTTTTTCCAGGTGAGGACTGCAACTGTGCACGTGCAACAGCAAGCATGTAGATACAGTACTGTATACTGCTGGCTAAGCAGAACTGACTGTAGCATGTAACTTCAGATATTCTCAGTGTCTTATCATATCTCCATGTAATAAGGAGGATAATCCACAGCTTAGTGAGCATTAAATGATTGTAATGCACGACAAGGAGGCAAAGAACCACCCAACATGAAGTGTTCGATTATTACTATCGTAATATATAACCTTTGTAGCACAAAATGATTGCAGTCCTCAAAAAAGAGTTCTGGATTATTCATAATGCTCACAGCAGGAAGTCCGACTATAATTGTCCATGTTTTTTATTGAAAGAGAATTTGCTTCAACAGCAGTGCTTTGAAGATTGTGGTGGCAGTACTTTAGGGTTTGGGATGAATTTAGATGTAAATTCCTCAAGAGAGTGTAACAGCATGCTAAAATCCTCGCAGAGAAGTTGTTTCTTAGTTCACTCGCTATAAAAAATGATGACTACAGTAATCAACTGGTAACAAATATTACCGTGACCACCGTAACAAAGCCTCTTGTATATCTTCCTCATAATGTTAATGGATTATGACTGTTTTCCAATAATTCTAGTGAGTGTAAGCATGTGGAGGTCTCTTGACTGACTGACTTTCCTTTTATTTGTTTGTTGTTGTTTTGAAGGGGAGGCAGTGCCAGAATACCAGATGGCCTTCCAGGCCGAGGCGGGGAACCACCCGTCCTTTGAGGACATGCAGGTGCTAGTGTCCAGAGAGAAACAGAGGCCGAAGTTCCCAGAAGCCTGGAAGGAGAACAGCCTGGTGAGCCACTGAGACAATCTCATTCTGTTCTTGTCACAGGAACTGGTCAGATTCCCAGCACTATATTCACTTCAGTTGACTCAGTTCCTAAATTCTGTCTTGTTGAAAGTTATTCAAATCAAATGATGAAAGTGGAAAAGCTTGGAGCACCATGAAAAGACCATGAAGTCCGAGCCAATTATTGCTGGTTGCTGCTGGTCTTGCTGGTTGACCATGCTGTTCACCATTACAGTTTGCCTAGTTAACAGTCATTAGTCTTTTTGGTGAAGCTGGTCATCCAAGGAAGTTTACTCGTTACAGGGATAGTTAGTTCACCCAAGAATAAAAAAAATCTGTCATAATTTACTCACCCTCAAGTTGTTCCAAATCTACAGGATATGAATTTCTTTCATCTGCTGAACACAAAAGAAGATATTTTGAAGAATATTGATAACCAAACAGTTAGCTGACCCTATTGATGTCCATAGTAATTTTTTCCATACTATGTTACCCATATTCTTCAAAATATGTGTTCAGCAGAAGAAAGAAAATCAACTTGACGGTGAGAAAATGATACAGTATTTTAATTTTTGGGTGAACTAAGGCTTAAACTAATGATCTATCCTGTTAGAGACACCAGCACATCAGCAAAAAAGACAACATTAGCACACAACGCAACAAATGCTAATCTTTTCAGCAGCATGTTTACTACAGATTCTGAAATTATCTATAAACTACTGCTGTGACAACAAATTCACTTTTCTTATGCTTCCTTTTAAATTAGTGATGCACTGAAATACTTACTTAAACACTGAAACTGAACAGTTCAATAATTCAGCCAAACAAATTTTATATTTAATGATACTAGCATAATTTTTGGTCATGGTAATATGAATCCACTCTGCTGACATGTTTACCTGTCCTGTTGTAGCTTATCCAGCTTGTGTGCATGAAATAGACCCTGCACAGTCAAAAAGTGACATCATCTGAGAAGCACTGTTTTGCTGAATGATTTCATCCCTCGAAAACCATTTCTGCCCATAGACTTGCATTAAAGGCTGTAACTAGTGACCAGAATAAACAGACTTGGGCCAGTAAGCAAACAATATAGCAAACTAGCATACTGCCAGTAAGTCATCCACTCATTGACTCTCTTCTTTCCCAGGCTGTGCGCTCTCTAAAGGAGACTATGGAGGATTGCTGGGATCAGGACGCAGAGGCTCGCCTGACAGCCCAGTGTGCAGAGGAGCGTATGGCAGAACTGCTCCTGATCTGGGAAAGGAACAAACCTGTCAGCCCCACCATCAATCCCATGAGCACAGCACTGCAGAACGAGAGGTAAATATGTTACACACATAACATATTTCACTGAATTAGGTGTCCTGAAATGTCATATACTATTCTGTGTGTGTCTAGGGTGAATATTTAAACTTTGGGTGTGTTAAATTTAGGCGGAATTCCAAAATATGCCTTAGAGTGGAAGAGGTTAATAGTCTTTGCACTTGCTATATCGGGGTAAACCATCCTATAACATGGTATATCAAGGGAAACTATGGAAAATCATGTTAGATTCATGGTAAATCATACTAGAACATGGTAAATCATGAAAAATCACATTGAAATATGGCATATCATGGTAAATCATGCTTGCTACATAAAACTTAATGTCTTTTGATGCTTTTGTGCTTTAAGGCCTTAAAGGCCTAAACTGCTTGAACCCCGATAAATGCTGCTTGCAGCTTTAATTGTATCAGAATCTTTTAGCTAATCAATTTGTAAGGTAAGGCTGCATTATTCATCTAAATAAAACCAAAAGTGCAAAATTTGTTTTTAAGGCAATCTGCGAGCAGCTCATGATCTGGTGTTTTCAGTGTCTCAGAGAGGCTCAGTTTGTTGCAATGCTGCTCCACATAAACTCATTCATGCATTTGCTTTAATGGGTTGCTAATAATGTGTATTTGGGGACGCAACATGCACCAACCATTTTCCCAAACTTGTGATGAGAAGCGCTTGTAAACCGGCTGTTGTTAACAAAAAAGAAGCTTTAAGGACTTCCTGCGGTTTCCCCACCAAAATAAAAACTTGAAGGTTTAACGTTTGAAAACAAAGAAGTTTTAAATATTAGTAATGTAATTTTACATTTGTTCTGTGAAAGGTATAATGTAAGATATACATATATGTATCAAAATATATAATATATACAAATATGTATTATACATCTATAATAAGTGAGATAATGTACTTTCAGTCATAAAAAAAAGACATTTCAGGGTAATTTTCCACAAGGTTCGTATAACCCTGTTGGGTTTTATTTTGCAATAATGATCTGTACGCTATCCCGTCACCATCTGTTTTCCTTTTTGATTGGTTCTCTCTTTGTTTTTGTAGGAATCTCACCCACAGTCGCAGGGCTCCCAAAATGGGCTCTTATCCAGATTACTCTTCATCCTCTTACATCGAGGATCATGAGGGCATGGTGAAGAACCTCCCAGGTGACGTCTCCACGTCTGGCACTTCCTCTGTGGGTGGAATGGCCGTGAGCGGCATTAGCAGTGGCGTGACAGCGACAGGAGAGAAGAACAGAAACTCCATCAACTATGAGAGACAGCAGGCTCAGGCGCAAGCTCGGCTGCCCAGCCCGGAGACCAGCGGCACGAGCCTGTCCACCACGACCACTACGACGGGCCTCACGCCAACCACCATTATGACCACCATCTCTGAATCAGGCCACTCGGAAGAAGCAGGAGCTGGAGGAATTGTACCAGTGTGCCTGCAGCTCACAGAGGAAGACTTGGAGACTACCAAACTGGACCCCAAAGAGGTGGACAAGAACCTGAAAGAAAGCTCTGATGAGAACCTGATGGAGCATTCACAGAAGCAGTTCAGTGCTCCCGATCCGCTCAGCTCGGGCAGCTCCAGCCTATTGTACCCACTGATCAAACTCGCCGTGGAAGTGACCGGAGGGTCTGCGGCCAGTGGTCAGGCTGATTTCGCCGTGGGCAGCAGTGGAATGGGTGACGCTCCGGCAGCCATGTTCCCTCTCCCCAAACAGCAGAATCTCCCCAAGCGGCCCACCAGCCTACCCCTCAACACCAAAAATCCTAGCAGGGAGTCCTCTTCGTCACGCTTGAAGTTTGGCAAGCACAAGTCCAACCTGAAGCAGGTGGAGACGGGCGTTGCCAAGATGAACACTGTAGTGGCCGCCGAGCCACAGTTGGCCACCGTCACTAACAATGGTCCCAGCGCCCGTAGTGGTGTCGGAGTGGTTGCTGTTAACGGATATGGTGGGTGCAACGGCGCCGGTTCCTCTGATGAGTTTGGAAACACAAACCCAGCCGGGCCACAGGGTGAGGGGGCTGCTCCTCTGCTCCAGAGCCAGCTGAGTGGAGAAGACAGCCGTCTCAACATCAACATCAACTCCAGCCCCGACGAACACGAGCCACTGCTGAGGAGAGAGCAGCCGTCCGCACGTGATCATTCCAGCCGCACCAACTCCAATAACAACAACAGCAACATCCACACCACTCATGCCTCTGCCGCGGTTCGTACGTTAGCTCCTGCAGATGCCCAGATGGAGACTTTAACCTGCTCTCTTGGGGCACTAGACGGAAGAGCTGATGGGGTTCCACTGAGGCAGCCTAAACCCAGGAGACCTGAGCGGCCAAACTCACTGGACCTGTCAGCCACTTCCCAGGATTCTTCTCCCTTAGGTAAGACCTGTTTTAGTTTGGCTTACCCTAGGTTTCTACCTAGAGCAAGTATGCATGAAATTGATCAGAAGTGAAAGTCGGGACATTTATTATGTTACAAAAGTTTCCTATTTCAAATAATTACTGTTCGTTTAAACTTTATTTTCATAAAAAAATCCTGAACATTGTTTTTGGAGTCTCCTGTTCAACAAGGCTGTATTTAGAACACATATTTAACATGCAGTAAAAATATGAATATAATGAAACATTATTACAACTTCCAATTTAATATATTTTCACATGCAATTTATTTCTGTAATGGCGAAGCTGAATTTTTAGAATTCCTCCCGTCTTCAGTATTACGTGATCCTTTAGAAATAATTATTCTAAAATGCTGATTTGCTGCTCAAGAAGCATTTCTTATTATTGGCAATGTTGAAAATAATTGAATATAAAGTATAAAAGAACAGCCTTTATTGAAATATAATTACTGACCTTAATCTTTTACATGCATTCATTTAGTCGTTTTTTTCTCCTTAATTTTAAAAAGTGCATTCACTTTTTTTCCAGTAGGCCTACATTGTTTTGCTTAGCAAATTAAAAAGGGCATACGTTTCCTAATAGTTTACCCCCTTGTAATGTCTTTCAAAAAGAAAAACAGTCTTCATGTGGCGCTCTATGGATTCACGTAATGCTGTAGTTCATGTAAAGCAAATTTACCTTATCTTATCAAGGAATTAAAACTGTTATATTGGGGAAAGCTGTATTTCCAGTGCAGTCTTAAATAAATCACCATTGGTATGTTTGTATCAGTTGACCAGTGTTATGAGTTTGGAGACAGACTCATAACACTGTTTCAGTGTGCGTGTCAGCCTGACTAAAAACAATAACCACCCAAAAGAAGACGCCAGGCTGTTTTCGCATCTGAGCTCACTATATCCTGCTTTGCCCAGATAATTAAGAGCACATCTCCTCATAAGCCAAACGTTTCGTAGAAAACGGGATGAGTGGCTAATCGTGCTCTCTGTCCCGCTCTCCTGCTCTTTGTGATGGAGTGTTTAGATGTGGAGAAGGAAGGAAATTCCACTGGATTGATAAGAATCCAGAAAACGTTCGGCCTCAGTTGGCAGCGGCGATAGAGAGCGATGCTAACAGACAGATGTGAATGTGATGACGTGTCTATCACTGTTAACTAAAACCCCTGGATCAGACGCTAAACAGGAAGACAAGGAGTCATGCTGCTCACGTGTTTACATTCCTCATGCGGACTCGAACAGAGACGTGAACCGCTCGAACCCGATGATTCAGACTCGAGCGCACACTGAGAGAGTTAGTGTGGGAAAGGTCAACCACAAATTTGAGAGTGCTGAAATACTACTCTCTGGTGCTTCACTGGGTGGGATGTTTGGAGCAGTTCTGCTAGTATTCCCAGTCGGCAGATTGCAAAACACACAACTGTTTTTTTTATTGACGTGTAGGACTGTAATCAAGGATGTTTGTTAAAATTCTTCTCTTTTCTTTTTTAGATGAGGTCGTGTCACAAGAGGGGAAAGCCGGATCGGCCGAGAAGATAAAGAAGCGTGTGAAGACACCTTATTCTTTGAAAAGGTGGCGTCCTTCCACTTGGGTCGTCTCTACAGAAACGCTGGACGGAGAGGTGAACAACAACGGGCACAGCCAGCAGACGGGGATGGCAGTGTCTGGAGGCGGCCACCCAAGTTCTGGCCAATCAAAATCCAGCATCGCTGTGTTCCTGGTCAGCGGCGGAACCGCGACCGCTGCTCTAACCTCCGACCCGCCAGACATGACCTGCCTGTGAACTCGCACCTCCGCTTTTCCTCTGAGGACAAGCCCGGGCCAGACTTTGAACACAGGAGGGGTTTGTGTATGCTATTGTGCTCCCAAGACCTGATCCAGCTGATGACGAAAAGAAAAATACGAAAAGAACAATTTTTGGAAAGCAGACTCTTGACAGGACGTAATTCGGCAAGCACTTAACGTTGTCGAACTTCTCCAACTTGTTTTGAAGAAATCGCTTTAAACCGAACCCAGCTATGCAGCAACATTGGCATAAAATGCTTCCATTTGTTTTTGTCATTTCAGTTTCAATATTTGTTTTTACAGTTGTTCTTTCATTTGTTGCACTTTTTTGTAAGTAATCTCAATCACGGATCCTCCGACCAGACTGGTCTTAAAACTGAAAAAAAAAAAAAAAAATACGCAAACGACAATTTGTTGATTTAACAATCATGGTAGATTGGACGAAATTAAAATCATGTCCATTTAAAAAAGGCAGTGGTCTTTAAGACAGGGTTGACTGCATCTTTAAAAACGTTTATCCCATAGTACATCCATATGTTTTGTATTTGTTGTATGTATCTATGTACTCAGTTTTGTATCATATTTTGAAATGTGCAATAGACTTTAGCTTTGAGGTGCTCCATAAGACAGTTTTGCCGCATTTGTTTCCTTCTTGTCTTAGCAGTGGCAATCCTGTGTTGATTCGGCCACCCCGAGAAACATCAGAACATCGCATAAATGACAATCCCACACCTTTTCAACAATCCCATCATTCTTGAAAAGGGAAGTAAACTGAAAATATTGGGGTGTTTGCTTCAAGTACTGGAAGTTTTTTCTGTTACACTACAAGTCAGGCATCAGCCTGGACTTTCTGCTGGAAGTCGTGCTCTCTGAAAACACTGAATAATCAAGTCCCTTTCTGCACACGTTCAGTGCAGTTTTACCTCTGTGAGAGTGCATGTAAATGTGTATGTATGGGTCTATTTCTGCTTAGCGGAGCTCCTCAAATCACTGCTAACAAGGCATCAGTCAAATTCACATCAGGACTTTCCACTTCCCATTGCTGCCAGGACAGTGGACGTGGCTCTGTGTGCTTCAGAAAGCAAACACATGCATACATGAACACAATATATACAGCATGTACAGACTGAAGCTCACAGCTAGCTACTTTAGTTCGGTTTTAGCTTCTTTTAAAGATAAGCTCAAGTGACATTATAGTATACAATAAGAAATCATGATTTTATTCTTTTTTTCCCTTTATTTTTTTAAGTGTTTAATTTATGTAGTACCCACACTCTTGGTTTATTATTCTCATGAAGTGGAATCAGTAAGTTGTTTATAATCTTATAAAACTATCTTATTTGAATGATACTTTCAAATACATTGGAAACATGTAGTTTCTTTTTCCTTCTTTTTCAAGTCAACCGTGTACAATCGGGGAGGGATTGGCACTTTCAGAATGGTCAAGTTTAAGTGTTGCATCCTAATTTTGAAGACATCTACACTTTAAGAGTTAACAGCCATGACATGGGCCTCATATTTTTGTCTTTTTCGAAAATCTATGGACACTGGCCTATTTAAATAATTGCATAGTGATAGGGACACTCAAATGGCAAGGCCCTGCTTCCCAAGAAATGAAGATAGTAGTATGCATTTAATCAGAGAGCACTTACCGTGCTATATGCGTTTTCTATAATGAATGTGAGTATTAACCATGATTTGGCACAAGCCCTCATTATCTTTGGACTTTGACCACTTTAGAGTGGGGAATTTTCAAAAAGTCATCAGTTTTGTTTCCCCTCCACTGGCTTTTTCTGTCTGTAAATAAGGCTAAACAGTGCAGTTGTAATTCTAACAACAGTGCTTCAGTCTGACTTTTGTATATGTTTGTAATATAGTCTAACCTCTGTAGTGTAAATACACAGTGCATTTGTATGCACATATATAGACTCTTCATCTGTTGCTTTGGGACCAAGAACAACACTAAATCACTGTGAGATTTATCTGAAGATAAACACAGTAACGTCAGACTGTTCTAAGATACGCCAGTGTGAATGCTGGAGTCAAACAGAAGATCATGAGCTGAAATGAAGATGACTTGCATAATAGGCGTAAAAACAAACCTCCAATGATAATTTGAATAAAATGAACAAACGTTTAGGACTTTAGACCAAAGTAGTTTGTTCTGGAGGACTGTCCATCTGCTACTTGTTAATAATGCAAGATGTTTAGTACACCAGAGCCATTGTCCAGTTTTACAGCATGCTGATGAAAACCAAATCATTTACAGACAATACTCTACAAAACATGCATAAACCCTACATGCCTTGTTTATATTGGAAGCAGGCCTTGAGAAGTTAAGACTTTTTTAATTCAGTCAGGTTGCAGGATGGTTTTTAACTATAAAGTCGAAGTCTTTAAAGTTGAAATGAATCAGTTACTGAATCCTACAGTGATTGGATCTCATTAAACTCGCAAAACCAACATGAAAATGGTTAACAATGTGTACCCATAAAACACAAACTTGGAGTATAAACTGTATATTGGGTGTGTGAATGAATGAATGAAGGGTCTGTTGACAAGCTGCTGTTTTTTTGTTTTTCTTTTACTTTTGAGTTCATATTGAAGCTAAAGTTTTCATTTGGCCCCTGCATAGATTGATGTTAAAAAAAGCCACTGACATGTTTTCTATTACAGCTTGTAAAGTAAGCACTTTGAGAAAAAGAACAAACGATAACTCGTGCTTTTAGTCTATTCAGAAGATGTTTTAAAATGGCATTTAGAAAATAAAGCTTGCTGTACAACCCTGCGTTACTCAGTTGATTAAAGAATATATTAATGAAAACCTGAACATGACGTTTACTTGTTATTTGTTTCCACTTACCTGGTAGAAAATGTAACATTTCTGGGACCATTTAAAGCCACACTGAAGTTTTTCATTTTGTTACGTGGCCACATGAGGGTGGTAAAGGCAACCACAGAATCATGACCAAAAGCATGTCCTCCTCACACAGCAGTTTCCATTCAGATAACAGCGATTAAAGTTCTACTTTACTGTGTGTGCGCATGCAATGATCGCGTGTTGGCTATTTTAGATGATGTATAAACACTCACAAGTACATAACACGGTAGCCTATTATTATTCATTTTTACTAAGCACATGTGATTTACTACTCCGAAAGAAAGAAAATGCAGCCTTTTAAAAAAACAAAACAACAACAGAATTAGAACAGTGAGTGGACGCTTAAGTTTTATTCCTGAATAAAAGATGCAAAAAAGCAACATCATTTTTACGATTGTGGTGTCACACATACGGTGAATAAATCCTGTAAAACTCCAGTATAAATCATAATTATCCTTGTTTTTTTTTTTTTTTTTTTTTTTTTTTTTTTTTTTACGAAATGGTACAAACTTTTCCTCATGTATTATAATGAACTATACGGAATTGGAGAACCCACTTTCTAGCCAATCAGAAGTTGAGAGGGGAGAGCGAACAACCAATCATAGGCTAGGAGGCAGAGCTCTGGATCGAGTTGACGGTGCGTGGCTCTGATTATCTCTCAGTTTTACTTGAGCTCGCGAAACGGTGCAGCTTCGCCAGTCAGGGAGCAGAAGGCAGACATCACATGGAGTGACAAGGGCACCAAAGACCAATAACCACCCCAGACAGCCGTAAACGTACGTTTCAAGTGTTCATGTTGAGATTTGGGTTATTCCCCAGCGAACAAAATGTCTCAAAAAGTTCGCAAAAACGGATCTCCGACGTCTAACTGCAGCGGAGTGGCCGCGGGAAGCCCGAGCGGATCCCCGGGGATCAGCGCCGCTGGAGTGAGTTCACTGGGTCGCCTGCTGCCCATGAAAGCCACGGTTCCCTTCCAGCTGAAAACGCAGACACAGCACCCTCTACAGACACGGACAGTCCTCTCCACCGGTAACGGTAAATGCCACAGCAGCGGATCCCACAGTCGGAGCCCCACGCGATCCCTTTCCTCCAGTGCCTCAAACGTTTCTGCAGCCACGTCCACTTCCTCTGCGACGTGTTCACAGTTCACCGCGGCCACAGCGGTTTCCTCCGCTCCCTCCTCCTCATCTACATCATCATCTTCATCATCAAGAACTAGCCCCATTATCGCCGTGCACGCGTCAAACCCTAGAGCGTCCCACGCGCAGGTACCTGTGGCATCCTCGTCAACACCCTACACAGGTGTGCACGTGAGCCCCCAGTGCTGCTCTCCCTCCCAGCAGATCAGCTGCAACTGGGACACTTTAGCCCTTACTTCTAATTTATCGTCATCCCCATCTCCCCCCTCGTCGCTGTGGTCCTGCGGTCTCAGGGCCAAACACCTCCAGACCCCTGAACATGACAGGCTGTCTCCAGAGAGGCTCAGCCCCAGCTCACCTGTATTCACAGGTAAATCTTCAATCCAAAAGAGCTGTTGATTTTATATGAAGCCAGAGCTGATGGGCCATGTTGATTTCTCATCACTGTGGTAACTTGTAAACACAAATAGTCCATGTCATTTGTTGGTTTTACATCTGCTTTCAGGGAAAGTTTTAACGGTTTCACAGTAGTGCGGTTGATGTGATTCACTGTCATAATGTACCATTTGCGACATTACTACTCACGGATGTTACACTCAACATTCAGTATGTCATATGCGATATTACTATTCACTGAACAAACCTGCTTATTTTCCAATTTAGTGCTGTCAAATCAGGGGCGTCATGCAAGCCAAAATTCTGGGGGGGCACAATCTGAGATGTTGCAATTGTTTCCTGATGAGTGGTCATGTAAGGGGGGGTCAGGGGGTTTCTCCCCCTGAAATTTTTTTAAATTCTGGCTGCTAAACATACCATTTCAATGCAGTTTGGGAGGGACAGAAATACCTTAATGGAGCTAGCAGCAACCCTCCTCTATCTGAGGACTAAGTTAAAGTATCTTTTTTGTAAGTTTATGTAAAAGACAGGTTGATGAAAGAACTGTAAGCTCAAATTCAAAAGCTTTTGAAGTCTACTTCATTAAAGCATATTTACACACACACTTACTGTACACTTAGGCCTTCTACACATGTTTTTAAAAACAGTACCATTGCAGTTTTTATGTTATGATTTTAAATAGGTATGTGACCTAAGAACGATCTTACATTAAAGGTATACAGTATAAAGGGGCTAAGGTCTGACTTTGTGGTTCTCTGAAATTAAGTTATTTTAATATCAATATGTGATGAAGGACTTTGAAAGAAGTTCGACAGATTTCAGTGCTGAATAAGGTTAACACTACCCCGTTTATTTGAGCATATGATTTTGTCGCACCTTTTTTTTCTTTTCTACATGCCATGGGATAAATCAGTGCATGCTGATGAACAGTGGTCTTAATCTGCGTACCCTAGATGTAAAAAGACTGACAGTGACACAAAGACCTCATGTTAGCAAAATGTTTTAATCTTTTAACTCTCAAAAAAACTATTAAAAAACATGTATGTTCTTTAACATTAGATTATAATTTTACTGTCTTACCATATGGATGGAATTGATAAGATTTTAATAATAATAATGCCAATGACGTTCTGTTTATCGATCCGATTCTTTAGAATCAGAATCAGATTCTTTAACGATTCTCTTATTGATTCTTGATAGCATTTTGTGGAAAAATGTAGTCATGTGCTTTTTTTTTTTTAAATCTTAAGCTTGAGTAGCCTAAGCAAACTGTACTTTTTATGTAATTCAAGTAATAAACAGAACATTATTGTAAAGTGTTACTGATTAGTTATACACCGATTCAGACGTCTCCCGAGTTCACTGTTGGAAAGATCAGTTGTTTTAACCATTCATTAAAATGAATCGGTTCAAATGAGTCATTAGTTCGCGAATTGGACGTGTTATGCGCGTTGTGTGATTATCCTAGCTGTTAGGACATGGATGTCATGTTTATGTCAACTGAATGTCCAGAACGCTTCTCAGAGAAGATAAGGCAACTTATTTAGCACAATTCACACCCAGCGGTAAATAAGGGGGAAAAACACAGAATGCTCCACATTAAACTTTCATCTTCCGACCTTTTACCACCGTGTCGATTTATTTTGATTAATAATATGTGCGAGGGTGGGAGACAGGGAGAGAGCAAGTTGCAAGAGTTTTGTATGGCAGGCAGTAACGTTAGCCAACTAGTTTACGGTTACACTAGGCTAGCTATTGATAACGTTACACTGCATTACATTGTTAATGCTCTGAATTCGCAGCTAATATCAATTCCATAACTTTTGATCAAGTTAAAATGTCCAGGTCAACCATAAATAATCCCACTACCTTTTAATATCATCCGATAACTAATTCAATGCCGATTTGTTGCATTTCCAACTTACCACTCGCCAGTTCAACGTGCGAGCTGCTTGTACCGCCGGAACATACACAGCAAAGATTCACGCGCGTAGATTTGATACACAGACACCATATTAGGAAAAACGGGCGGGCTAATGCTGACCGATTTATTATCACACATCAAGAAAAAGAATATATTTGAGTCGTTATAGGCTCTGGTAATTATGGAGCATAATAGGAATAAAGGAATCAGGGAAAAAATTAAAATAAATTTTAAAAGAATTTTAAAAAAATTATCAGGGAGGAAAAATCTGAGGGGGCACGTGCCCCCTCACTTTGAATGGGCATGACGCCACTGTGTCAAATCGATTAATATAAGTTTGTTTATATAATGTGTGTGTGTGTGTGTGTATATATATATATATATATATATATATATATATATATATATAAACTCTTTTTTTATAATAAAATAATTAAAATTTGTATTTACAAAAATAATCTGTATTTTAGTACATAAAAATAAAATCAAAACTTAATTCATCTTTCATAATTTTTTTTATTTTATATAGTAAAATATTCTGTATTTAAATACTTAGAAAATAGATAATTTAATTTATTATTTGGTACCCTTGAAGATTAAGGCCCCAAGGCCCCTTTTTGAGAACCATGATATAGTGTAATATAGGCTAGATGTACATGTTGTGTATGACAACATAAGGCATCTAAATGGTAGGCTAAATGTAATGCAGTAATGCAGTTTGTTTATACCTATGGATCAATCATGTCAGCAGAAGCAAAATTACCTTTCGATAGAGCCTTAGATATTGTTTAGATGCAGTAGTTTAGATGCAGGTTTATTTTGATAAAATGGCAGCTTTTGGCTTTAAATCATTTCCTAACCAAGAAAGATTTTTTTTTGCCCTGCTACCAACAGGCTTTGGCAAAAGCATCATACATCACTCTACATACGTCATCTGGTATGATTAAAACGATTGGAGACGTGTCTCAATGAGACATGGTCTGACGTTAACCAGACTATCCATTAGTAGGAATCTTTGGTCAATGCTGCAGACAGAGTATTTCAGATGTCTCATTCATAAAATAGCTTGTGAGGAGCCATGTTGAGAGAGAGCGCGAGCCGGTCAGGCCGCGGTGGTTTGAGGTGGCCTGCTGCTCCAACGGCTTTTCTCTGTTGCTGACTGGTAAGAATGCAAATGTTTGGTGGCCAGTCGATGGTTTGGCCCTTTGAATCTCAAAAGTATATATTTTGTGAATGGTTTGCCAGTGAGTGTTGCTCTGTGTCTCGGTTACTATAACTGTTTGAACTGGCAATGTGACATGGTACCACATTTATTTCAGAAAATGGAATTTCCTCAAAAAGGAGATATACATATTTTCAGCTTTTTACTTTACTTGAATTCAGTTATCACACCATATTTGCTGCCATTTTTGACAGCAGCATTATATACTGAAGTAACTGCTGGTTGTGAAGAGATTATCTGCCTTAAAGACACAAAGAGAGAAAGGTACAGTAGTGGTTGTTGGGTTGGGAGTGTCATCCTTTGTATTTTGGCCCTGACCCAGGCTTCATTGTTTCAGTAAATTACCCATGATTCTCTTGGAGGCTCCTCAAACAGACTCTGAGTTCATGTGTATGTCTTAGTTATGTTTCTGTGTCAGTGTTGTTTTTTTAGTCCAATAATGACATGAGCTGTCTGAACAAGAGGAAACTTGATCTTGGGTCCACATTTCACTTCGGGTCAGCGATTCATATGCCTGTTGGAATGCCCTTGTGATTACTGTTTTTAGTCTCCTGAGCCATGCCTCCCCTTTTCACTGTATCCCACTAAAAACACTCCGCTCTGGTATGTCCAGTAATTTTCCAGATCACCAGACTTGCCTAAGATCACATGAAAGCCGTAGCACACAAGAGGAACCGAACAGGATGGAGAAAATTGGGAAAATTCAAGTCACCTTTATTTATATAGCGCTTTATACAATACAGATTGTTTCGAAGCAGCTTCACAGTGACGATAACAGGAAAATGTCCAACTGTTGTTCAGCTGAAGCCAGTTCAGTGTTGATTCAGTTCCACTGTAAAGATAATCAATTATTAAATTAGTTCATTTTAATCTTTAAAGCAGTTCTGCAAAAAAGGACGTCATCGTGTCAAACTAATGTATTTTGGGTTTGGAATGACGTGAGGGTGAGTTAATGACAGAATTATTTTTGGGGGATTGAGCTATCCCATTATAGATTTCAGGATGATTGCAAAATGTGCAATTTTTATACTGCACATTTTGTAAACGCACACTTTATAAATATAAAAATGTGGCTAATGGACATTTAATTAAACAGGATGTTTCAAAAAAGCAATGTGAGTCAAGACCAAATGGCGAAAGACATCCGTCTTCATGTGTATGACTAGTGACCATGTAAGAGGAACTTCTCAAAACAACTAAAAACATACAAGAAAAAACTAGAGCCTAATTGACTTCACTGATGGTGTGAACTTCACTTTACACCCCTTCCTGCTTGTTCTTTCTTTCTACAGTATCCAGGTGTGAAAGTGTTTTTCTTGAATGTATTCCTCAACATTTCAGTTCATTGTTCTCAGGATTAAACAGCACCATAAGTGGCGCATCGTTGCAACTAATTTTGCAAATGCCAATGTCTTTCTCAATATCTTTGCTCGTCTCAATATCTTTGCCTTTTTAAGATCTCCATACAGACATGGTTCTTTTGCTCTTGGCTGGGGGTTTAACAGGGCACACTCCCAGGCTTTACAGAGAGGGATGGTACAGGCAGGCTGGGACGAGACCAGGCTGATCCATCAGCCCTCACAAAGAACATTTAGGAGTCAGGTCACTATAGCCGCGTTTCCACCGCAATTACCAGGAACTATTTGTTCCAGGGACTTTTTTTATAGGAAATTTTTTTTTACCCAGACCGCTTGCTTACTGCGTTTACACCGCGGACTAAAGTACCGGTCCGGGGCGGGAAGATTATGTAGTGACGTTGTCTCCTCCCAGTCTACTGCTGGCTGCAGTATAGATGTTATGGTCTGTGCTTGCGATTAAGTTTATGGGGGAGTATGGGCGGGACCTCAGGATTACTACTGGGTAGACTTGGTACGATGTTATCGGCAACAACCATTACTGGGATATATTGAATAAACGAGCAGACACTGATTAGCTACTTCTCTACATTTATTTGAAATTTACAACTAGACAACTAGAAGAAGTGAATGTGCTTTCCATTAATCACACACAGTAAACAAAACCCTAACAAAAAAAAAAAAATTGCAATTTAGACATGCAAACTGCGTGCCTCGGACACGGCGTCGCATGTGCTGTTACAAAAAAAGCCATGGACACAGCCCAGCGAAATGGGGTCTTGCCCAGTTTTGCTCACCCAATGGGTCATTTTTGCCGCGCGCACCTTCGGCTCGTGCGGATGTGTCGAATATAAACAAGGCTTGACTCTGTGTCAGTGCATGCTCTGATCCATAAAGGGGCAGAGATTTCAGACCTCCGTTTTATTAAGGAGATCTCCAAGATTTCTCTTCTCGTGAGGGGGTGCACAGACCTCTCCCGAATCATCTCCTGCAATAGACCCTTTTACAGTTGGTAAACATGGTGACGTTTTTTCGTGGGCGGAGCTTAGGTGGAAACAGAAAGATCCATCTGGCCGCTTCACTGACGCTAGTTAGCAAGGATTGTTAGCTTGTTTTTTTAACAATGACTGGAGAAAATCCGATATTATCTTAATGTGTAAGGTCACCCAGTGTCCAGGACTGCGATTGTTATTTCCAAAAGTTATTTTTAACGGACGGAACCAGATTGGCCGACCTGTAGCCGCCTACACGCTGATATTAGTATTTAAACATTCTCTATACATTTTTGTGAAAAAAATACTTTTATAACATGGTTTTGGTGGTTATAGAGTTCTAATGACTGTGTTCAACTAAGTCACACCCCTAGTTCCACGGCGGCATTCATCTTTGTAAATGTACAAAACCTGCTTCACTGTCGCTGTGCTGTTTTCATCTTGTAAAGCCCGCCCCAAAGTTTCTGAGGTGCGACCAATGAACTAGACCTACATCATTACGCGATACTTCGCAGGGTTTCAGACACGTTACACGATTTCCACCAATCAGATGCATCACTGTGGGATTGTTCAGGATTGTGGGTAGTAGTGAAGTACTTATCCAATACATCGTGATTCGTGAATAAAAGGCATTTATCTTAAAACAAGTTTAGTGCCCCATGAACTTTTGGCGTTTAAATGAGCATGTACAATCACTTAGTACAGCCGTAGCTGGTTTTAAGTCCCAACTGTCAATGGAGAAACTGTATTGATTTTTTTTACTTCCGGCACCGGCTGTGGGCGGGACTGTGATGTTCTATGGGGTTGAATGAGACTAACTTCACCAGACTAACTTGCAGAGCAAATCTAAATTTGTCAGAAGTTGTCTGGGTTTTCCCATGCTAAGCTGTTTGTTCATTCAAATAAATCAAATGTAGGTAAAGGAAAATGTTTATATAATTTAGAAAGTTTGTTTGTTAATTTATTAGAAGATGAAGTGTTAAACGTCAAGGGTGTGTTTGGATCCTAATCCTGACCTGTGGGTTGAGATGTGTGTGAGAACAAGATCATTATCTGTGTCTGTACCGACTGAACTGGAGGCGTATGCATGGTACTTTTGATGAATTGCTATGACGTTATTGTTTAAGTCTAGTCACATTCACTAGTAGTTTGAGGAGACAAAAGTCAAGAGCACAGCTTTCCCAAGGATGCGGCTCATGGGACGCTGTGTGTGTGTGTTATCAGTGTGTGTGTGTGCAAAGTCTGCTGAGTGAGATGCAGGGTAGACGCAACACAATAACCTACTGTGCAGACAGAGACGATAAGAGAATTCCCTGCTCAGTAGTGCATCATAGCATCTCTTATATGAGCCAATCAGAGATGAGATAACATCCCCGTGTGATAGTCTGTCCTCTGTGCATCTTGCTTGTTTGCATGTGTATGTATTTATGTAGTTCACTTCACACACACGCATACATAAAGATTTATCAGTCATTTCAGTGTAGAAACGTGCACATTTATGCCAGAAACAAACACTATGCAAGAACGCAAACACAGATGTGAATGCTTAGCCGCTCCATTGCAGGCGTATATGGTCCTCTTTCTTTTGTACATGTTTTCTGTGTACTTCTGTTTCTGTTCACAGTTTTATGTCAGAGGCCTGGGGTTAAGCCAGTAAACCTAATCTGTTATAAATATCCTGATAAAGACATAACGTTACAAAAGATTTCTATTTCTAGTAAATTATGTTCTTTTGAACGTTCTATTCATCAAAGAATCCTGGAAAAAAATGAATCAGTTTCCACAACAATTTTAAGCAGCACAAGCACAACTGTTTTCAACATTGATAATAATAGGAAATGTATCTTGAGCAAAAATATGTATTTTTGAAGGATCATGTAACACTGAAGAAAATTTAGCATTGCCAATGACATCACAGGAATATTTCATTTTTTTAAAAATCTCTTTAAATGAAAAAACAGTTATTTTAAATTGTAATAATATTTCAAAGTATTTCTTATTTAGCCTACTGGTATCAACTGTAAAAGATAACAATCGGCATTTATTGCTATTTTTTTGCAGGTAACTATATATACATGTCAATTTTAGCACACTAATTACTTTTACAAAGAAAGCCTACTTTAGAAAGCTAAATTAATTTACTGTATGCTAATGCTCATTAGCCCATCCTCTGTGGAAAAACTTAGAATGTAACGTATTCTTGGATTTCATTATGATCTGCGTCCGGATTTGCATTTCAGAATTCATTAACCTGTTAATCTGAATTTAGATTAGCTAGAAGCCTTTCCATTCACATTCAGTTTCTAGAGAGCAAAAACATACCATGTGGAGACTGCAACTTGAGCTAACTAGCCAATTCCTCTCTCTTTCTCGCATGATTTCCCACAAAATTCCTTCAGGTTCCTCCTCCTCAGATGCTCTCTCATGTTCTTCAGTGTGTACAACTCGCAGAAAGTCAAGCCAGCCCTGTTCTCTATTTTAAAATGTAACGTAAGATTCCTGTTCTGCTTTTTGTAAGTTTTATGTAGTTTTGTCTTAAAATAGCAGAAAATCCACCCAACAGTAAATAGTAGTTGTTTTGTTGCTGAAGTGTGTGTTCACTTTCCCATTGGACTATTGGAAGCAAACAAAGTTAATGGTTCCCCTCTGATTTGCTTCCCTGGATACAACACACATATACACACATACACACAGAGAGCGAGAGAAATATTGATGTCACCTATGTGGCAAAAGAAATTGGGACTTTCTTAAAATCCTGTCTGAAAGCCTCATACGCGGAACTTCCTGTGTAACATCCCTCGCAAATGTCATCTCTTCAAAGCAGCACAAAACAGCAGAGGCCACACTCTTTTACTGTACGTCTGCACTGTGTATTCAATAGTATGCGCTGTGTGAGTTTACATGAAAATAGTCTTTAAAAGACTAAAACTGACAAGAGAAGGCCATTGATTATGTGCTGGAAAGAACAGACGAGAAAAAGAGAGCAGGGACAATAGTGAAGGGGGCAATTACTCGTGGAGACGCACCTAATGTAGGTCAAGACACGCGGGCCGCTTCATCCACGCCACTCGTGCAGTTAATCAGCTTTAGTTTCATTAAAAGAGCTACTGGACACCAGACTAATTCTGTCTCAATCTGCTGGGTTTTAATATTCATCACCATCAGCCCAGCGGACATTTACACTCAAGCTGGTGTAAGCTCACACACACTGCTGCTCTCTAAGCACTTACTGTGATGTATTGTGTTCATAACATGCAGCCTCTAACTTATGTTCTTCTTGTGTTTCCCTCCCATCTGTTTTATTCTTCCTCACATGTCTCATTCATCCATCTTTCAATCAAACTCTGTCTCCCCCTCCCCATCCTTCCTTCCCCTCTTTATCTCCTCTGCGTTTTCTGGCTGTCTTGCAGACAAGCATAGACTTCCTGTGGCAGGGTCTTGGTGTACCACCAGCAATAACGGTAGCATTCGTCGCACCTCCTCTTTGGACGCGCTCACAGCCCCTTACCTGTCTGGACACTGGCCCCGGGACGTCATCCATGCCCCTTGCGCCCCTTGCATGAGGGACAAATCCACCCAGGTGAGCTGCCCCATTTGTACCGTTTGTTATTACATTGTGTAATAAGTTGTGCATTACCCAACATCTCACGCATACACACCTCCTATCAATCAGCCATTTACTTCTACATGAAAACTTTCCGCTCCAATCTTTCCAACACCAAATACCTACTTGCATACACGTGTGTTTTGCTAACCACCAGCATGAATCACCTGAGAAACACTTGCTTTGTGCAAACAAACCCATGAAACCACCACAGACATGTCTTGAATGCACTCTGTACCTGTGAGACACCACTTTAGTTGGCCATGAAACACTGACCTAAATAGGAGGTGACAATTTCAATTATTCATACCGCAGTTTTTTTTTTTTTTTTTAACGAGTCAACTTTTATTCAGCAAGGATGCATTAAATTGATCTAAAGTTACAATGAAGAAATTGATAATGACATAAAAGATTATTTTTTCCAATATATGCTGTTCTTTTGAACTCTCTATTCATTAAAGAGTAACTAAACACTAAACCAACTTTTTTTTAGTTAATGATCTGTAAGAATGGATCTTTATTAATACCAGTCATTGATTCGAGTAACTTTTTTAACATTTGTGTGTAAAGCGTTTTATTTCTACAATATATGATGTAAAAACGTTCTAGTGCTGCCCTCTTCAGGTTGAACGGTGGCTACTGCAGTTGATTTTTCCTATTGGATGTTCCGCACTTCGTGACATACGCAGGTTTCAGCTCACCATGCGAGCTACGCCCATGGCAGTATAAAAACCGTCTTGTGTCGTCAAAACCACTGTAGGGAGTCAGGAGTTGGAATTGTGAGTATTGAAAACGATCAGGATAGAGTGTTTTAGCATCTATTTCGTCCCCTCTATCTCCGCTGGGGTCTGCCCACTTTTTCAGCATTTTCAAATATTGCCAGTGGGTGGAGTCAGGCTCTGACCAGGGGTTTAGTTACCCTGTAAAGAAACAAATCGCAGTTTCCTCAAAAAATATTAAGCAACATTGATAATAATAAGAAATGTTTCTTGAGCATCAGATCAGCATATTAACATAGTCTGCAGTGTCGCATGATCCTTCAGAAATCAGAGTAATGATACTGAAAATTCTGCTTTATCATCTCAGGAATATTACATTATAAGCTATAGTAAAATATAAAGCGGACTTTTTAAATTGTAATAATATTTCATAATATTACATTTTTCACTTTATTTGTGATCAAATAAATGCAGTCTTGATGACCATAAGAGACCTCTTTCTAAAACATTTAAAAGTCTTACCAACCCCAAACTTTTGAATGATAGTGTATGTATGTTCAAAGAGTAGCTATTATTTCACAGATATAACCAGTGTGGGTCTGTAGTGCACTTACTGATTCCTTAAGAAATTGTTCAAAATCGTGTATACGTACCCTCATGTTGTTCCTAACCTGTTTGATTTTTCTTTCTTCTGAAACACAAAAGATGATCTGTTTTGGTCCCTACAATGAAAGTCAGTTGGGGGCTGATGTTGTTGGCCAATGTGGACTTTCAGTGTACGGACCAAAATGATTATTTAAATGATCTTCTTTTATGTTCCACAGAATAAACAAGTCATGCAGGTTTGTATCAACACGAGGGTGAGTAAATGATAACAAAATTTGCATTTTGGTTAGTTCACCCAAAAATGAAAATTCTTTCAGTTTTTACTCACCCTCATGTTGATACAACCCCGCAAGACTTTCGTTGATCTTCGGAACACAAATTAAGATATTTTTGATTAAATCTGAGAGCTGTCTCACTCCATAGGCTTCTTCTTAAGGATTGAAACTTGCCGGCACAGAAAAGTTATTAAAGACATTGTTAAAATAGTCCAAGTCACTACTGTGATTCAACCTTAAGTTTATCAAGCAACGAGAATACTTTTTGTGTGCAAAAAAAAACAACAAAACAAAAATAATGACTTTATTCAACTATTCATTTCCTCCTCCCTTGAGTAAGTTCACGTAGTGTAACTGTGTTGCGCTTCTGTGTTGTGTCGCTTGATAAACCTAAGGTTGAGTCACAGTAGTGACTTGGACTATTTTAACGATGTCTTTAATAACTTTTCTGGGCCGGCAAGTTTCGATACCTTAGAAGCCTATGAAGTGAGACCACTCTCAGATTTAATCAAAAATTTCTTTTTTTGTGTTCAGCGGAAGAAAGAAACTCATACAGATTTGAAACAACTTGAGGGTGAGTAAATGATGACAGAATTTTCATTTTTGGGTGGAGTATCCCTTTAAGGCTAAATATATTTAGCACAATCTTAGTTAAATAAACACAAATTATACAATCAATCAGCCTGTATTAATTTTTATTCATTGTTTTCCATTAGAATAATGGCATAATCGCACCCAACTAAAATGTGCAAAATAAACACCTCTCAAAACAAACATCACTCTTTTACCTCTGGTGCGGTGAGTGCGTAGGACACACAGATGTGTTCTCACATGCACACTCTTGCCTGTGTTTGTATGCAGCTATTAACGTCTATTACTGTAGGATTTTATTGTTGTTTTTCCACAAGTCCAAACACAGATGTTAATTTTGCACTGCCTGAAAAACTTAACTCTACAAAATAAGAGAAGCGTAATGTGAAAGTTATTATGGATAAAAAAAAGATAGTCTGGAGAGAGAGAGAAAGAAAAGGAGGAAGCCTCTCCCTGGTTTGTTGAGAGATGAGGGGAAACTGTGGCATATTTCTGGTGAAGGCCTGAAGCTTGAGCTTGAAGCATTCTTTCCTGAAGCTGCCTGTTTTTCCAGCCTATTTTTCTTCCAGAATCACATCAGAGCCAGTCCATAACTGATTATTAAAGGGGTGGTAAAACACATTTTTTCGAAGGCTTGATTGTGTTTGTGGGGTGCACTGTAACACGTGTTCATGCTTCGTTTTTAAAAAAAAAAGTCATTATTTTTCATATGTTTTACCTTTATTCTACACTGCTCTGTCCCTTCTTGTAAAAACGGTCTGATGGTTTCCAGGTTCTATGAAGCCAGTCCCTCAAATATACGCAATGGGCTCAGATTGGTTCGCTGGCCCAGTGTGTTGTGATTCGCTCACATCTCTCTTTATGGCTCTGGATTCTCTAACCGCCTGGTGTACGTTTTTCGTAAACATCACGCCACCAATTTGAGCCCGAATCGAACCTAGAGAATGTTAGTGAAGATGATCGAGCAGAACCTGTTCAAGAGCAGCTGTTAAACGATGTTTCAGAATAGTTTGATTTTTGTTGTTGTCATATTTTTAGACATAACGCTGTTATGACTGACTGTATGGCACCGTTTTTAGAACGATTGTCAAATATCTGTCAGAAGTAACACTAAACATTGGCTTTACTACAGTAGCCAAATCAAACACAGAACCATTTTTAGCATGCCTGTAGATAAACATATACACAAAAGCTCTAACTTTAATCAAATCATAATTTACACTAATTCCAAGTTCTCTTTGAGATTAAAAAAAAAATGTAACGTTAGGTGTTAGTCGATAATGTTAAATATTAAGGAGCTTTTAACAAACTGGTTTGCAGAGCCAAACAGCGTTTTCATTTGTTTGCTATTTGCTACAAAGTGTAATTAACTTTACAAACTATTACGGGAAAACACATCGACGAAAAATAGATCATACTTACAGGCTGTGGCCCGTAAACAACAGCTTCTATTCTTAAAGTTGGAACTGCTCCATCTTTCAGGACAAGCCGTAGTGCAAATCCTGCATTGAACTTGCAAAGATTGTGGAAGCTCTCCTAAGTAAAATGTGCAGCACCAAGAGCCTGCGTGAGATTTGGGAAATAATTATGAGGGACCGAGTTAAAAATAAAATTAACCATTGATCCCTAACTCTCCCGTCACCAGGAATGCTGAACAAAGTGGACCTGCAATCTGGATGAAAAAAAAAAACAGTGTTTCGACGGCATTGCGGCAACAACACTCCAGCCTACTATACCACAACAAAGCAATATAAGCAATATATATATATATATACATTTTTTTCCAAAGCAATATAAAATGGACTCTCCCACTTTATTTAGTATTCTCGGAGGAGGGGTTTATGTAAATATTGGGGTTAGTGATGTCAGCAACCCTGGAGGAATGTTGTGTAGTCCTTATCGGCCGTTTGCTGTAGTTCTTAGAAATTGGTTTGTTTAAAAGCAAATATCTCCCTTTACTTTAAACTTTGAGTGGTGTAACTTCGCAGATGTTATGTTTAAACAACAACATTACACACTAGCTAAAGTTAGAAAAGTGAAATAGTGTTTTACCACCCCTTTAACTTTTTTGCACTACAAGGAAAAAAAAATAAATCCTTGATTATTTGTTGCTGGCATTTCAACAAATGATTTATGGTGCGTTCATGTGCTATGGTAATTATGGCAAATACCAAAAGCCGACGTTGAAAATGCACATGAACAACCCCTCATGTGGTATTTTCCACTGGCCAACTCGTAGAATATTTTGATAGACGAGTTGCCGAGATGAGATAACCTTTGACCTTTTCAAAATGAGAGTCGTGGATGGTTAAAATATATATGATCTAGAAAATATACAGCATATTATTTATCTTTTGAGTTTTGATAAATCATTTTCTTGCTGTTGCAGATGACTTAAGCAATCTAAAATAGTTTTAGCTAAATAACAGGTCTGGATCTCCATCTTTTTACCACATTATTACAACAAAAGCACTTGAACGCAACACACTGGTAAATACCATTTCACAAGTGGAAAATATTCTATTTTCCATAGCACGTGAACGCACCATTATTGATTTGAGTTTTAATGTACAGTACATATGTCTGCTATAATGAGGAGGCATGTATTAAAAAGATTAAGAAAGAAGTGATGTCAGAGGCATGTTTTCATTTATATCACTCAAACCCAGTCCCAGCATCCATAAGAAAAAGCATTACAGCTTAAACTCCCTGGTTCTCTGGGGTCTTATTTTACCCTCTCTCATCTGCCTGAGCGTACTGTGTGTGTGTGTGTGTGTGTGTTTGA